TTATTCCAATATCTTCACAACTATGAGCGAGAAGGACAATATCATCAGCATAAGCTAGGTACGAGAGGGTTTTGTTCCCTAGTTTCAGTCCTTTGCCCTGCCAATCTATCAGATTCAGCGCGTACTGGAGAACTAATGTGAAGAGAACTGGAGACATTGAGTCTCCTTGTCTTACACCCCGCTGCAGATTGAACTCTGCTAGTTGGTTCGCTATTCTGACGGCAGCGGTACTGTGTGCATACAGCAGTTGTATGGCCATTATCAAGTTCTCCTCCACACCAAAATACTCCAACGCTTTCCATATCATTGGAAGTTCCACGCTATCGAAGGCCTTCTTAAAATCGACGAAAACGGCACATAGCTCTATATTGAACTCGTGACATTTCTCGGTAATCATATTAATAGTGTGAATATGATCTATGGTCGAGAAGTGCTTGCGGAAACCAGCCTGCTCCGGTGGTAGAATTGACTTTTCCTCAATTGTGGCTGTCAAACGGTCTGTAAATATTCTTGTCAGCACCTTATACAGCGTCGACAGCAGCGATATTGGCCTGTAATTAGCGATGTTAGATGGGTCTCCAGCTTTGTAGAGTAGAATGGTGTGAGCGAATGCAAAACTTGCAGGCACAACCTTTGTCCTTATCATGTTGTTGAAAAAATGTGTTATGGGTAAGGCGAGTATTTGTGAAAGAGCACGAAGAGAAGGGGATTGAATGCCATCGGAACCAGCAGCTGAACGTGCTTTGCTTCTCTTCATTGCCATTTGCACTTCATTATTGTGGACCTGCAGATTTATTTGGCCTGATGGTGGAGTGGGTGGGCCGAAGGAGGAGTGGTACAGTGCGTTATAAAAATTTCTCACTGCTTTCACTGACTGCGACACGTGATCAGGAAAAGGTTCATCTGATGGGGAGGGGTCGCTAGGAGGGGAGGAGGTGGTTTCTTTCAGGATTGTCAAGGATCTTCTTGCGTGTAAAGCTTGCATGCGCCCACGTCGAAGGCGTCCGGACTTGATGGCTTGACGAAATATTTGAATATGGACGTTGTTGTCTGCGGAATCTTCTTGGATCGATTTTCGGGCGCTAATGCTTTGCGAGAATCTCAGCGATACCACGATTCCCCTCCCATGGTATCTCCGTTGATGTTAGCTGCTCTCCGTCTCAGGCGGAATCCCGGGTCCTGACCCCCCTGGTGAATAGACGTGGTGGAATAGATATTCATACCTTTTGTGACATCTGAGTAGCTGTTGTTAATGACGCCAGTATATCCTTTAATTCTATTAAAGCAGAAAACTTCTGTGTGTGCGGTTTTGTCCGGCTATGTAGGTGATGTATGTCGGGTTTAGTATGTTTGTCCGTTCCGCCAAAATGCTTTACGGGATTAAACACGTTAGTGAAAGAAGAAAACGACCGCTAGCCAAACCGGGAACCCATCGGTGCAGATGTATCAATCCAATGTTTTGATTGTGATAACAGCATATATAAGACAACCACTCGGTACACTCCGAGCCATTGCACGAGCTGCTGCCGTGGCAGCTGGACGTGTGCTCGTGCGGGAGCAAATCTTGATTGTTCACCAGTCATCATATTTTCATGCAGTTCAATGCAATTGATGCGGTGAACACAATAAGTCGCTGTCAGATAACGGGGCAAGATCCTCCTGGTGTGTTACTGGTTGTGAGATCGGATTCAGACGTATTTTACATCTTAACATGCGGTGATCACTCCCCGTGTTAACACTAGTGAGCACTCCTACATCGACAACGCCCTTCATACTTCTCAACAATACATAATCAATCTCTTTCTTCAGTCCCAAGGCATCATTTCGCCATGTCCACCGATCGTCAAGTCTCTTTTGAAGAACGAGTTTTAGGCAGAAATATTGCTTTCTTTCCTCGGTGAATTTATTATACGCGAAGAGTGCTCCTATCGGCTAGTTTTATGCAAAGCTCAATCATTCGTTCAGAATGAAAGAAACAATCGCTGTGTTGATTCAACGATGACGGTACATAAAATCCTACACCTCTTTTGGTTCGTTCCTCAGTACCACTATGATATAAAGAGTACCCACTTGAGAGGTCTATTCTTTCTTCCTTTGCCAGCCATTCGTACCTCCGCTCGAGACTCAAAGACATCGAACTTCGACATTCTCCTGGACCGCGCTATCGAAGTCAGCAAATCTTGCCGCGGGTGGAAATGCGGAACGGAACATTCATGTTGTCCCGTCTTTTTGGCATACGGTCCGCGCTAGCCAACTGCGTGTTGGACCGGACCGTCTCTCCTTTCTTCGGTGGTTGAGTGAGCAAGGAGTGGAGGAGTGGTGAGGTCGACCGCTCACGGTGAATGAAGGAGGGAGAATGAAAAACACTATATTACGGAAACAAAAAAGGGCTCCACGTCCTAATGTACTCCATAAAGACTACAAAACAAGTGACCCTCAAAAAATAGAGAACACAGCTAAAATTAGGGAGAAAATGGCCAAATTAAGGTGAAAACAGCTGATAGCCGACCTCGCGACCCTTGCCGCCCTAATCAAGTCCCCGTATGACGACTGTACCTTCTCGCAAGGCGACTCGAGATCAGAAATAAGGCACACTAAAGGAGAGTCTTGTGATCATTTGGTGTGCAAACGCTGTCCTTGGACAAAGTAACCCGGTTCACAAGCTTGAAGATAGAATCGCTTCGAAAGGCGAAGGCAATGTCTCGCTCACTGCCCCAAACCTCACCTAGCGGTCGTTTTCAAAGGATTCTGGTGGGTCTCTCTTCACCCTATGCCCTTTCAACCTCAGTGTTGCATGAGATGCACGAGGGTTTTTTCCTGCTTTATTTGTCCAAGATAAACTCCGCGATTTCATATTGTGGATAGCGAAACCAATTACGAACCTTTAGTCACTCATCAGTACCAGTAAATCACTCTTCAGGAAGAAAAAAATGCAAAAAAAATCATCGAGACCCCTACGTAAGGAACTCCTGACAGCTCCACTCTATTAGTCGCCCGAACCCGCTCGTTTCATGTCAGCTCATCGACATACTGCCTTAGAGACTGTTTCTTCGAACAAGAGCTCAAAGAAATCTGACAGTAAAAAGAAGTCGGACAGTAACGAAAAGCAACGAAAAACACGATGAAGAAACGAAATTCGTGGCCGAAATATTGCACCAATTGGTTACATAATTTGTAAATTGAACGCGCCTCACTGTGCGAGATGGACTGCTTTTTACTGTATGGGCTTTCAACGAGAAAAAAAACAGTAATGAATGAGAGCAGAACTATTGGGTTGTTCGGATATAAACGAGACTTTCGACTCGAACGACTTTTCGACTTCGAACTTCACAGCACAAAATTTTAACAACTCTATTCCAAACAGTATTTTCCCTAAATATTAACAACGCTCCGCCATCGATCATGCAGGATTGTGAAAAACATCCCAAAGGATTTGGTTGGCTTTGAGTCGATATGGTGCGACCCAGGATCGGACTCCTTCGATACTGTTGAACTTTCCTCCCGAAAATCTGATGCATTGATCGAGTAGATCGTGGTCTGAAAGAGCCAATGTTCGGAATATACGACGTATATGCGGCAAAACCTCCGAGCCCACTCTTCGACTTTTGCTGAACAATCTTCGTGAAGTGTCGTAGACCATTGTCATGAAGTAGTTGGATATGTTGTCCCTCAATCCATTTAAGACGGATAGCTATGTTGACACGCGAACATCCGATTCCTGGGAAGTTTCCCTGTCCGTTGTGTCCGAACAGGCTCGATTGTCGCAGTTCAGAGAGAGAGACCGCCCTACTAGTCCTCTCCCACGACGAGCATCGGTGTATCGAGGGTCCCGCTTACACACCATCAGCCCACCTCAGTCTCACAGTTCCCCGGGGACCATATCGCCTTTCCGCCCCGAATAGCCTCGTTCTCGAGGGACACCAGGGCCTAGCCCGTGGCTGGGCTTGCAGCGGACGGCAGCCCAGGGACAGGCGTGCCCCCGTGGTGGGTCCGACCTCCCCATGTCCGTCCTGGACCCCCGGGTTGGCCGGCCCCTGCCACTGTTACAGCCTACCGTTACCGGTCTAACGGCATGCCTACTCCCCTGAGGCATGCAATAACCAAACAACAGATAAACCGACAGAAATATAACAGCGAAACAACTTGTACCTTTACCCGACCAACCTCCCGAACCTAACCAGCACCTTACGGGCCCACCTGCCCGGTCGCTCCCAAGTCCCTCCTATTACAACAGTACAACATAAATAAACTTCATATTTATTGACTCACGTGTTAGCGACACAAAGTTCGGTATCCATTCTTCATATCTGCTCATACCCTGCCGTAGCTGGATTGGCCATCCATCTTCCAACTGTCTTGCGTTAGTCCTAGCGGTACATGGCGCCCTGCGGCTACAAGCTGCAACCCACAGCCGGCCGTGCCTTCAGGCACGGTCAGAGCAGCAGCTCGCCAGACGGAGCCAGCAGTGCACCACTGCTGTAGCAGAGTGCAAGCACCCTGCCAGACCGGTCCCGGTATATGGCGGCAGCAGGCAGGTCCCTGTGGGTCCCTCCTCCAGAGGGGTAGAAGCACACTAGGACTCACGGCAGCCCTTATATAGGCTCCACTGGGGGCGGGGCGGCGGCGCGGCCTTCGGCGGTCGCGTCGCGGCTTTGCCCGTGTAGCGCGCCAGAGCCCAGGCGCACGGGACCCCCGCGCCAACGTTAGATCGGCGAACCCAACATCAAAGGTCCCCACTACTTCAGTGACCCTGTCTCTACGTTGGCGGTCGAGGTCAGAGTTTTCCTTATCTCATGCTCTCTATGTTGTCACGCGGCCGGGATATATGTTAAAATGCGCGACAATAAGCCGGGGCGCCAATGAGCCATTACAAACTGGAATGAAAACGTGTTACAAAAGCCAAAAATATGAAGCACAAGAAAGTAAAATAGACATCAAAATGGCAGAAACAAAATGTGTTACCAAAACTACCCGACTTGTTTTTCGAACAATTTTGAAATTCGTAACGTTTCAAAAGCCTCGTTTATATTCGAACAACCTTATACTTACGAGCACGAATACGGTCAGCAAAAATGGATAAACATTTGAGACTTACGAATGTGAATGGATTCAAAGGTGAGCGGTCCAACTGAGCGGTATCAGAACTTATGATGGCTTCAGCAGCTTCGTCAGTCACTGTGGAGCCGCGATGTGGATAAGTGGATAGTCGGCGCAGTATGCCGACGGAAGGGGGAGGGGCATTTTGCACTTTCGTTGCTTCGCTAGTTCTGGTTTACAAGTCTCACTCTGTTAAAACCTGTGAATCTCTTGTGAAGCTGGAGCAAGCTCGTCAAGCCATCATGGTAAAACCTGTCAACTCGAGAAGAGGCTGTAGATGGGGTCGACACGTCGATGGGAAGTCGTTAAGTGCAGAATGCCCCCCCCCGTCGACAAACAGCGCCTGGAATAGTCTGCGGGCTAGACTACTCGGACGGGAAAGGATGTCCACCAACCAGGACATGCCTTTACTTAGCTTCCCTCCAAAAAGTTATGGATGTACCTTTTTTTCAAACATCCATAACTTTAAAAAGTGTATGTAGACAATGTGTGACGAATCAAAAATGGTTGTTCGAAGCATAAACGACTTATTTCATGTACACACTGCTCCGTCAGTCCTTGATAGTTAGTTGTTTTACAGATCTTCATGGGACATCCTGACGATATTAAGAATTATTGGTGCCTCCCCGCCCCCCATTGCTGCTTGCACGCCGATAGCGCAAGATCAGCCCTTGAGAAAGAAGATCTATGGCGTATGCGGAGTGCGCGCAGAGTGAGTGATCGGCTCCTACAGATTCAATAAAGTTGTTTGTGAAAACGCTGCAACAAAGTCGCACTTCGCTGAACTTCCAAAGCTACTGATGGTGAGAAGGAAACTTTGCAAACGGCTACGCAGTCAGCACCACGGCTGCGTTCATACTTCGCGGCAGCGTCAACCAGCGACAACAGATCTTTAACAGCTATGTACGAGCACTGGTAGAAGCTGAAAATATTGTGTTGGAACAAAATAACTTCTCCCTTCCAGCGTCAAATTATGCGCGGGAAATTGAAGTTTCTTGCCAGTGAAAATCCCACGCACCTATCAGATTCCTACAGATATATAGCTTCCATTGACTTCAGATGACCAAAGTGCAGTGTCGAGCCAACAAGAATGAGCCTTTTGATGCCCTTTTTTCCACGTGCAATCAATGAGCTGAGGTTGCATAAGCCCATTTCTAAAGTGCATGTAAAGAAGTCATGCCTTTCATGAAGGATTTGGATGAGAGGTAGACCATCGCGCTGTGTAAAATTTCGGCTGAACACGACCCCCACCAGGGTACAGTTGATGTGTGAAATGGCGGTCACAGTACCCCCTCCCCTCACTCGAAAAGGATACTAGTACGACCTCCCTCCCTTTCCGGCCTTTACTGTTTGCTCAGACGAGAAGGACTCGATGTGTAAGGACTCGCATGCGCTTCGGCCGCATTATGATTCCATGGCAAATTAGCGGCGGAGCAGATCTTTCAGCCGGGGGAATTGCGCGGGATTTTTTCTGATAGGGCTTGATAGGCTCTTCTATGTGGCTTTAAAGGCAGCGTCCGCGATCAACCAAAGTGAAAAAAACCTCCATTGAAAACGAACGCGGAGTCCGCAATCACAGCAGAAATCCCACTCTTGCGGCTCGAAATCGATTGGTTGACGAGGGCGGAGTCAACAGAGCCGGGCTGACGCCTCCTGTCCTGTTAATCCCGCCCCGACTGGTTGACAGTTATCAATGCTTGCTGGCATTGATATACGCTGAATTTCTAGAGTTCCGAGGCGGCGACGTGTATTGGAGAACTCACCAGAAGTTTGCGAAACTCGTCCACATGCCTTAAATTTCATAGGGTCTTATTTCACGCTCTTCCACACCTTTTTCCTGCTTTTTTTTGATTAGTGCTTCATTGGCCACCTGTTCTAGCAAATGTGACCCCTGAAACCTGCCAAAGTCCATCGCGGGCGCTGTCTTTAAAAATTGGATTGCGGCATGTTGGGGCGATGTTTCTACTGTTGTGTTTTCTAATTACTCGCAATCTGAATCCTCCCCCGTTTCGAAATATTTCGGCTGGGTTGCGGAAG